TTCTACTTTCCGATAATAAAACATTTCATTAGTGATTGTGCTTCCTGACATAATGTAACTAATGCACACTGATATGTAAAACATGCAATGAAACCTTACATTTTCATTCAGTTGTTTTAGTTGTGCTGATCAAAGTTTTGGCACTTTCAAAGCTAAATCCATTAGCTCATAAACAATACCTTATTTATAATTTAAAATATATGGCTAACATGTGGAAAGTTTAAGGCAGCTATTATGCTTACAAGAGGGTCAGTTTAAGGATACAAAAATATTCTATTCTTACAGCAGTTAGTGTATTAAAAGAACATCAAATTGTTCAATTAAAAGGTTGAAATCTTTCAAGCATTCATAAAGCATAACGAATATGATCCAGTGTCACTTTTAATAACATATTGTTTATTCTCTGAGAACATGTTTTGTAGCTTATGTAGAGATATACCTGGAGAGGTATAATGAGAATAAACTAGGAAGATTAAATGGGCTGGCTCACACCATCAAAATAAGCCACGTTGGTTTATTTCAACACACCAGGCTCATATGAGGCGTTATTTCTATAATTTCTAAACAAGGCGTGACCTGTTATCTGAACCTGGGTGGCATGGCTTGCTTGAAGTGGGGAAACTACCTCCATTAACCCATGGGCTGTTGCCAAGTTACTGGAGAATTGTTTCCTCCACCAAGAAACCATGCTGCCTATATTTGGAAAACACAGCCAGTCATACCCAAAACTCACCCTGCATGTGACACATTTTAAATAAGCTAGTGTGGTTTAATTTTGATTGTGTGAACCAGGTCAATGCTCTATCTAGGATATGTCAAGAATGAAGTACAAGTTTCAAATGTTGTTAAAATACATTTGAGGAACACAACCATCACATATTCATCTCAGAAAAAATAAAAAGTAGGATTTGAGAAACAAACAATAAAATGGCATTTAAGGAGGAGTTGGTGTTTGAGACTTAAATGGCCTTTAAAAAGAGGTTAGTTTTGATCTAAGACACAACTGTTACTTTTGGACTGACCAAAGGGATGCAAGGAGAGATTTTCTTTGTTTTTATTCTCCGCACTTCATATTTTAATTTTCAGAATGCATGTCCAATAATTTTCAGACGGCATCTGGTTTATTTTAAAAATTCCTACAAGAAATTAGATGAAAAATAATCCTAAGTGTAGCTTTTTCACTGCAGTATTGTATCTAGGGTTACCCACTATACCTGGTGAAAAAGAAGAAAAAGAGGACAGAAGAGCACTTGAATTTGCATAAAATATGCCAATTTTAATTTGTATGTGTAGATGTAAATTTAGAAATATTCATTCAGAAATGCAATACTCACTATAAATTGTGAAATGTGTGTTACATAGAAATGAAACAAACTGGAGCATAAATCTAGGATTTCAAGGTAATCCATTAAAGAAAAATTAAAGGACAGGCATAAATTATGGCAAAGTCTTTCAAAAGTTAGGTAAAATCACAACTTTGACCCAGTTCAGCCCTGGGTAAGTTGCAAAGGTGAAGCCTACTTCTTTTAAATAAATAAAATTAGGATTACAATGATAAATTGATTAACCAATTAGATTTAAACAGCTTTTACAGAGCAATTCAGAAGTGCCACTGGGTAGAATGTACCACTAATTACCAAATAGGGGTCTCCAATTTATCTGGATATTATTTAAAATATGTCCTTATAAAAATTTGAGATTGTAAGCACATACGCCCATTTCTTGCACATAAATAGGAACCTTTTCCTAGAATGATGCCTGCTTATACATATGAAATCTAAAAGATATCTTAAAAACACAAAGTGTGCTTCTTATTCCAGAATGATTGTTCTACTCACACACAAGTTTACCCGATGGATTAATAGATTCATCAACTAATGCTCATATCAATAAACTTGCAGCCCTAATAAAATAATAATCAGTGTTACAAGCATGGCACATGAATCTGACACCATAACACAAACAGTGACCAAATAAGCATCTCCCGGCACAGTCCATGCTGTCCATTGCTCTTGTATTCACTGTCTACAGAAGATCTGCTTTGCTGCAGTCCAGCAGAGCCTTGGTGAGGTGGCATCAGGCCACCTTGAGGGTACTGCAGGCCAATATTGCGACGGACTCCAATGTGCAAATTCTGCATTTTTAGAAACTTTCTGGAATTGTACACACATTTAGTTGTATGAAAGTTACTGGAAAAAGCAACAATATAAACTCCCCAAACCTAACATTTTATAGATCTCAGGTTTCTGAGATCTATCCCGGATGCTTTTGCATTGATGTCTGAAAGTGGAAAAACCTCATTCTGTCAATGAATGGAATGAAAGATGCCCAAGAAACTATAGAAGACAGAGAGAAACAAATAATTAGAAACACCCAGAAACAGATTATTAATCAAATAATCTGGGGCATGCTGGGAGTTGTAGGCCCCTTTTTCTGTGTATTCATGCATAGGATTGCACCCTAAGAAAGTACTTGTACTAGAGGGAAGAAGGACTCATTCACACAGTTATATTCCACCTGCAGAGCAGCAGTAACATTAGCTTGGCTAGCTGTCAATAAACATGAGCAAAATAGGACAAAGAAAACATTAAAAAAATTGATCAAATGGTTTTGAATGAACAAGCTTCCCAGACTTATTATATCTTTGAGAAAACATTTGTTTTGTTAAATGCATCCAACCAGCTTTAAAGCTTTCAAAGGTTTCCTGTTTTCAATAGTTTCAAAGTAATTCACAAATCACCTTACAGACAGCAAATTGCTAGGTTGTATGAACAAGAAACTGAATCTCTGCATACCCTTATCAGACTGCTCCAACTCATTTAGAAGAAACAAAATAATCCCGGTTTTCTTTTCCACAAAGAGGTCACATTTTCCAACGATCCTTTTTCATTCAGTTGCCATTCTGTACTTGCCCTTATCACTCTATCTGCTGTCTGCTCCACAGCTGTTTAAAGTTCCTGCTGACCACTCTTACTTTCTTTTTATTTTAATTCTGTCACCAAACACCAGGCCCTTACACAGACAACACAACCACTCAGTTTACTTCCTTTCTTTCTTAGCCTTCTCTTCTCTGCCTTATGGAAATATATTTGAAACAAAGAATGAAAGATAGTTAGATAGTTCATTTGGAAACCCTCTCTCAACACAACAAAGAACCTTTTGTTTATATAACTTATCATTTCTGTAGGTTTCGTTTCTCCTAAAGTTACAGTTTGGGCAGTTGGAGAGGGAGCAACGGCGATTGGGGTAACTTAAAAGATTAAGAACTGGAAAATTAATTAATTAAAACTTCCATTCTTACTAGCAGGGATTTTTTTTAATTATGTGGCCATCGCTTCCAGGCTTACTTCTGCAATTGTATGGACTAGGGATTTAGGTTTTTTTCAAAATAGAAACTTGGAAACTCAAATTTCTATGTTGATACTGCATGGAAAACTTTCAGTGCTTAATGTTGTACAATTGTCCATAGCTTATTTGAAATGAAAGAGAACTACATTGTTCAGGCCAGAAATGTTTATGAAGATAATTGATCAGGCCCATTAGCCTTGATCAGTCATGCATTTCCATGATGCTTTTGCAGCATGCAACTGGAATTGTAGACATAGTATAGTATCCAGTACTGCAGCTGTAATCCTTCTCCTTCCACTGGGTAGAATAACTAACACCCTGGAAGATGAAAAGAAGATCCAGGGAGACCTAGACAAGCTTGAGCGCTGAGTGGAAGACAACAGAATGAAATTTAACAGGAACAAATGCCAAGTTCTTCACCTTGGCAAAACAAAAACAAAAAAACCCCAGCTGCATGGATACAAGATGGGGAATACTTGGCTTGACGGAACTGAGAGTGAAAGGGACCTTGGAGATGTTGTGGACAACAAGCTAAATATGAGCCAGCAGTGCGATGCAACTACAAAAAGGCAAACACTATTTTGGGATGCATAAATAAAGGCCTCTTCCAACCCTAGTATTCTATGATTCCATTGTGCCTGCTGGACTCATTTCTAATGCAAAACAGAGTTAATACTTTCTAAAGTAACCCTGGAAAAGAGCAGAAATAGTAACCTGCAGTTCAGGACAGATGGGAGAGGTCCCTTTTATGAACTCCACAGACCTGCTCATTTCTGATTGCTTTAAGAATCTCTATTAGTATTATTATTCATAGTAATGATAGCTAATACACCATTGAGCACAATAAAATTCCTAAACAGTTTACAGATCAAAATTGAGATCATATTTAAAATACAATTTATAAAGAATTCCAATTCCAATAACAATAATGCAGAGCGAGACAGGGAAAGTAAAATACAGCATCATGATTAATTTAAGGTGTGAAGGGTTAGTCTCAAAAAGTCCTACAATTCCCAGCAAGCATGGCTAGTAGGGGAATACTGGAATACGTAGGTCTTTTTCTTTTTAAGCCTGCATAGGATTGTCCCCACAGGGTCAGAAAACCTGCATAGGGTTGTGCCACAGGTCAGGAAGAGCACTGGTGAACAAGTGCATTTCAGTTGTTCCAAAGATGCTACTTTTTTAACATTCCAAGCAGCACAAGGGAGGGTTTTCCAAGGAAATGCTTGTTCTTCACTGCTCACTGACATGCAGGCAACATAGGATACTGCCCATATTATTTTAATATGCAACGGAATGGAAGAATCCTACCTAAATCAGTTATATTAAAACAGGGCAGAATGCTTAGGAAAGTAATTCTTTGTTCAATTATTTTTGACCAAGCAATAAGCAATACACTTCTGACCAATAATGCTTCACAAAACTCAACACAGAGATCCATGGAGCTGTGCCACATTTCAGCTCCATTATTTCAGTCATGCAGCGCCTCTTCTGTATTACAGAGAGCGATACACTTTGTTTAAAGTTTCAATTGTAAGTCTCCTTGGGGACCCAATTTGGGCAGAAATGTGATGCATGTATAAATAAATATCCTTCAGCGTTATCACCTTCACTTGAATACAGAATGCTGTGAAAAGTGTGCATATACTTACAATGACTGGAGAGACCGCAAATTCTGGAGTGCTTCATTGGGAATTTGTCTGAGCTGATTGTTCTGAAGCATTCTGCATGCACATATAGAGAAAGTAAACAGAGTAATTTTAGTTTACCCAGTTTTTGCTGAATTATTATATTATTTCATTTCCATACTGCTCCATTGCCAAAGCCCCCAGCCCAAAAGCAAGATGGGGATCACATGGCATTGCAATTAGAAGTAAATATGGGGCCCAAATATACCCTTACTGACTGCACCACCCTCTGATTGTCACTATTTTGAAATCAGCTTTAGCTAACACTCCTACTTTGCTCACACAATATGAGAGCCAATGCAGTTCAAGTGGTAGCAGTAGGAGGACCTGGGTTCAAATTCTTACACGGTCATGAAGATCACTGTGTATTAGGCGAGTGACTAATCCATTAGCCTAACCTTCCTTGCAGGGCATGAAATAGGGGAGATGAGAAAGATCATGTATGCCGCACCAGGAGTAAGGTGAGATATTAATGCAATAAACTGATAAATGTAAACACATGACTTTTCTCATCATACAAGATATATTAAAATAAATGAATGGTAGCTTTGGGGAGCAACAGCCACTGAAAAAGTTTCCCTAACTTAATCCATCCCTAAAGATCTCTTTGAGAAGATCGTAACTAGAAAGCTTTCCTACGTATACATTAACAAAATGCAGGTTTGATAAATCAATCTTTATACTAACACACAACAGTGGTTATATTTATGCCACTGGTGGATTCTGACCATCAGCTGAAATGATCCATCTGTGTCTTTTGCAGTGTGGGGAGAAATTCAGAGGCAAGTGTTCCTGTAACTCCCGTGTGCTCCCTTTGATGCTCATAACCTTCCAAGTTACCCACCTAGGATGGCACTCTTAGTAACTTTTACCAGCCTGAGATCTTAGTTGTATTCTACTTGTATTTGTTGTACCACAGGAGCAAAGCCTGTTGTATAAAAGCTGCTTTGAAAGTGTAGAAAGGGAAGTTGCATCCTTTTGCTCATGGGAAAGAACGGCTGGGACACTGCATGGGTTCTCTGCAAAAGGGTGGTGCGCCTCTTTTCCCCTTCCCACCCTTCTGCAATGCCCCATCAGCGCCTGTTCTGAAGACAGGCTTCCCTCCTCACATCCATAGCCAGCACAGAAAGGACTGTGCTGGCTGCAAGGGAAGGAACGGGGGCTCCAGGGAAGGATTCCTTGATGTGACCTCAGAGCACATTTCCAAGGCTGCCGTGAGGACTCCTGACTTTTCCTATGGACAGCCAGATGGTGTCTACTGGCCACTGGATCATGCCCTTGGTCATATTTACAATGCTATCGAAAGTATGTGCACTAAGTAGTGAATCCATCTGAGTAAATGAGCCTTATTTTCTCATAAGTATTCAAAATTACAGCCTGTTAAAATCAGTGTTCTATTAACTTCCGTGGAGCTTAATGAATGGTAACTTGTGCATCAGTTTGCACTGGTGCATATGGGAGTAGTGCCTATGGCCTTCTTGGAGGGCGCTGTGTGCTGGTATAGGCCAGAAGTTGTGCAGCTATAAAACTACAGCACTGTGTCATCCACATCAGGTTCTGTACCTGTTCAGTGAACCTGTATGAGACTGAAGTAGGAGTCTCCAGTTCTGCGGCCATCAGCTTTCAACACTCTTCACTACAGGCACTAGAGCTATCTACCTGATAGATAGCTCTTAGCAGTAGAAGCTTTTATCACACATCAGCTGTCACTGGGCCTACACAAAACCAACAACTTCCTCTGAATGGGGGTCTAATGTCTATGAAGAGCACTCTACTTCTCAAAAAGAATGTGCTTTACAGAGAGGCAAAAGGTGGGGAGAGGAAGGGAGATCTAGTTTAAAAAGTCAGAGAATACTCTTCAGCTTTTAAAATAACAGGTTGCATGTTTATCCCAAATTGATTACATCTACCATGAAATACAACTTAGTATATGGACACAGGATGTTTCTTTAAATTCTGAGATTTAGCACAAGTAATTTACTCATTTTCTCCTTCTCTCTTTCACCCCATACATAGAAATAAACATGACTCCTGTTTCCCATCATCTTAAGAAATGTCTCTGAGAACTGAAATCTGCCATTTTGTGGGAAGCTAAAGGAACAATTATGCAAAAATTACATTGTATTTGATATTGTACAGATACTCATCATTCACTTGATGAGTAAACTCTTTTTGGAACATCAGTAATCTTTTCAAGTTTAGAAATCTTTGACACAATAAAGCAACTCTGCTATTTCTGAACATGTTCAGCTTCCTTCCCTGTGAATATTCTGACCAAAACAAGCAATTCACTGAAGGGTCGCACTACTATTAGACCCAAGGAGCTTTTAACAAAAAAGCATTCAAATGTTTGAAATGAAACAATACTTACAAAACTTTAAGACTGTACAGCCCAGCAAATGCTCCTTTGGGGATGTGTGTCAGGCCATTTCCTGCCAGACGTCTGCAGGGTTAAAACCAAAAAGATTTCATGAACAATTAATTTGGATGTTAAAATGTACACAGCAGCTATGATGGAAGCACTGGATCCAGAAGCAATTGTTTAAGAGCTATTATTTGTCATCAGTAATGTTCTGCAGGAAGCCTCCATATAGTCCATGTGCCAGTAGCTGGACAAATACATTTGCTTCCATACATCTACTTTATAGCACGTGCAGAACTGTTCTCTGCTCTGCTGAAGTAGCAAACAATGCACAATTCTAGACTATAGGCTGGCTACCATATATCATTTTCATAACTTTGAATGTGCCCCAGCAGACCTGAATGCAGTCACAGGAAGTATGTGTATAAATGGCCAAATTTCTTTCATTACAAGAAACCACATGGTTACTAAAATGGACCATGCAGCTTCAGCATACTTTATTGGCTTAAAAAAAAACTTCTTTAATTAATTAATTAATTCAATTAATTCCTCTTCCTCTCGGTGTTCATAAACTATAAATGTTTTTATGTTTGACACAGCCAAATAAGCAGCAACCAAATTCCTTCTCCGTTGTAGTATAGCTGCATTGCTTACAACAGTGTGAAATACTACTGGAGAGAAGCCAATAGAAGAAGAGTATCAAGAGATCTGATGCCATTTGAAGCAGGTGGTGGTGAGTCCACTCCTAAAAAAGCCTTCTCTGGACACAGAAGATCTCAGTAATTTTAGGCCAGTGGCAAATATCCTCTTCTTGGGCTTGGTTCTTGAGTGGGGTGGTAGCCAACCAGCTCTAGGCATTCTTGGATGAAACTGATTATCTGGACCCAATTCAGACAGGGTTCAGTCAGGGTTCAGCAACCAGATTAACAATAGGAACCAAATGGTCTGGACACTTAAACACCAATTCTGGCCCACTTGTATTGGCTGCCCATAGGCTTCCAAATGCAATTCAAGGTGCTGGTTTGACTTATAAAACCCTACATGGCTTGAGACCACAATACTTGACAGAATCCCTTTCCCAACCACAAATCCATCTGGACACTATCATTCATCCTGATCTGGGCCAGTCTCCGATTGCTACCTCCAAGGAAGGCTTGGTTGGAGGCAAAGGGCCTTCTCAGTGGCAGCACACCAGTTTAGAAGACTCTCCCCATTGAGGCCTGCCTGGTGCCACATCTTTCTGGTGCAGGGTTAAGAATGTCCTCTACATCAGAGCATTTGATTAGCTTTAATATTATATTGGGGCATTATGTCAGCTGCTTAAATGGGACACATGATTTAATTTGCATAAATTATTGCACTTTTTAATTTTGAAAATTGGCTTTTAACATTTTAGTTTATAATATTTCACAATTTTAATACTATCCATTTTATACTGTATTTTTATTGTATTTTATGTGCTGTAAACTGTCCAGGAAACTTTGACTTTTGGGTGGTATATAAATACAATTAATAATGATAAAATGGGGTATGCTAAAAAAGATCTAATTGAAGAGCATCTATCTAATGTTTTGTATATCTGATACTCATTTATTGCATTTTATTGCATGCTTATTCTGATGTAAGTGCAATAGAGATAAGATCACTCAGCACGGCTAGCCTTACTGTTAGGTAGTGTGAGGCATTCAGCTCAACTCATGGATAGTCAGTATGCACAGGGCAGCATTAGTGAACCTCCTGGCTCTTCCTCTTGAGTTCTGCTGGCCATTCACCTTGCTGGAGGTCAGAAGTGCGAGCTTCACACAGCCCTGCATCCTCACTGTTAGTCTGCTGTCCTCAGGTACAGTGGGGGATGCTTTCCTGTCACTAGAGCTGAAGTATCCTTCAGCTGCCCGTCTGATTGACTTTTATATTGGAATAGAAGGCACCAATTTATTCTTCACCTGAGTCCTGTGCCCAGGTAGGTCTCCTGTGGTAGCAGTGTTGGCGAATCAGGAACAGTATATATAACAGGAAAATCAAGAGCACAAATCAAGCACTTGCCAGCACGCAATTTTACTGAAAGATCACTGTGAACAGTGATTGGGAAGTGTGGGCAGAAGGTTCCGTCTCAGTATTATTAGCCACCATTATTATTATGGATCCTCCTCTTTGGTCTTCCTTCCTTCCTTCCTTCCTTCCTTCCTTCCTTCCTTCCTTCCTTCCTTCCTTCCTTCCTTTCCTGTCCTATTACAGAAAGTCTCAAGATGGTCGTACAATAAAAAATAAATTAAAAAGCACAGCATCACATCCTGTATAAAAACCCAATTAAAATAGCAATTCTTTCACCTCTGTTTGCAGCTATGTACCAGACCATTCTGGCTGCAGAATTCTGTAGAACATTGTGCAGAGGTGTCCATGAGTAGCAGTTGACCATTGGTATTCTCTGTGTAGATCAACAGTGTTCAAGGTGAGTTTGACTGAGACCTCTACTGAAATCTCTGATTGCACCAGGCTCTCTTGCCTGGCATCCATGAAGAGCCCCTCGGTGCATCAGAGCTTTTGCTAAAGGGGTCCCAAATTCCTTGGACAAAGGGCAGAAGTCTGTTAGCCTTCTGTGAATGTTTGAGAACATTTGTCTGAGAACATTTGTTTAGGAACAACTTAAAAAAAATAATATTGTCATTTATTAAAAATCTCAAAAAAATTAGCAAAAAATTTGCAAAAAATTTGCAAACCCAATTAATTCAACAATAAAGCAATTAAAGTGAGGAGCACTTTGATACAAATTGTTTTGTTTAAATTAACATGTTGTGAGTCCTCAAAACTTTTCATGGATTATACACTTTTCTTTCAGTTTAACCCACTTTATATGATTATTGTGAAGAAAATAGGATGTCTACATAGAGGCCATCTTGAGCACCTTGCTCAAATTAAAATTGTAACCTGAATGTATAGGTTAACCATCTAAAGCATTTCTCACTTGAGTATAATTTATGTCACTGGATAAAATAGTTTCAACCTTAGTCTGTTCTAGTTTCACCTGGATAGTTTTCTTACTTTATTTTAAATCATCTGAAGGATTAAGCATAGGGCAATCAGAAGATTGAATAAAAGATTGTAGTTGAATTGGTTTGTGGATATATCAGCCTATATATTATATTTTCCTTGACCTGCTGGGATTGCATCTCCCTCTGTGTCCTTGGATTTGTAATCTCATGTTCCAAGTGATTTACAATACACTACTATTTATTTGGAAATAAGTACCACTGAGTTCAATGTGACTGACTTCATAGCAAGTGTGCTTAAAATTACAGCAGTACTGAAATTTCATAGACATAGAAAAGTAGAAAAGGGAGTCCACCAGAGCCAGAGCTATTATGGGAATACACCGCATACTTCTGAAAAAGAATGATGAAGTAACTATTTTAAACTACACTAATTTTCTGGTTCTTTCATACATTCTCCAGAATTGTCTTTATGGTTGTAAAATATGACTAATATATATTATTTAGAATCAGAAAGAAATAGCTTATTTTCATTTTTAAGGGCTGAAAGAAATTGGACAACGTGATCCTCAAGGTAGAAAGCTACTGCCATTCATAGGTCAACAATGCATCCTCTTTTCAAGCAGCATCATTACAGAACAGTAAGACTAACTTATAATGCACATGTTTTGAAATCACAGCATATTCTTCAGTTGCCTGGGACACGCCAGGAGTTCTAGCCCTTTTTTTCTGTCTACACTTATGCAGGATCACACCATAAGTTACAGAGCAACTTGGTGAACATCTGTTCTGATGTGTCACTCAGTTGAACAGACTTATTCCCAGATAAGTGTTTGTAGGAATGCAGCCTAAATATACTTTTGGAGAAGAGGATAAGACAGATTTAATTAAATTTTAGTAGTCTTTTGGAAATGGTCAAATTTTATTGTTGCCTAAAGCAATCCTCTTTCAAAATGAGATTGTGTTAAAAACTAAGTAAAATGCTTGGAATTTGATAATTAACTGAAACCATTACATGGACACCTTAGTACTTTTTAAATTAAAAAATATGGTTAATTTTAAAATGATTGTTTTGTTCTCTTGGGCAGGGTTTCAGTATCTTTTTTCAGTTTTAATCAATGTCATGGAGTCCCTACTTACATTATCAAGTCTGTCTTGTGGCAATGGAATTTATGATGTGTTCTTGGCTATTTGCCTGCTTCAGGGCAATACTACACTTCAAAACATAGCAAACTAATCTGTACTGTACTTTTTTCAATGTAGGAACATAAAATATGTTTGTAACTAGAGAAAGACATATAGTGACCTAGTTTGCTTGAGCACAGAGTGCTTAATAAGCCACAGCAGTTCACTGAGCACACTACAACAGCCATGGGTTCTGGTGGTTTGTTAGCCATGGCAGGAAGCCACCCTGGCAGGGTTCACATGACACAACAAGCTCTGCTGCCAAGAGTAATTGTGCTAATTCCCTCCAGGATGCAACCATCGTGTGTGATCATGTGAACCATGCCAGTGGGAACATGTGCAAAATCTGTTGAGGCCCCTATATACGAACAAGGCCAGTGTCTTGCCTTCACCACAGTCAGCTCCAAATTCTTGACAAATCCTGTTCAAGGAAAAAGTGCAAGGGAAAGAATAACCTTAGACATTCTAAGAAGGAATGATAGGAGTGATGGCTGCAAGACTCCTGCAGAAGGTTGTGATTCTCCAGATTGGGGGTAAAGGCTTCAGTCCAGCACACAGTCAGGCTAACCACAGCTGCTTAACCCCCAGCAATAAGGCTTGGTGGGTTGCTTGTTCCGTGAACAACCCTTGGTGTGCCTCATAATTGGTCTCACTGCAGCTTCTCTCTTCCACCTTGGCCTTCTGGTGGGCATCCTGGGAACACCATGGATTGGTGAACTGAATTGTCCCCCACTCCCTGCCATGATCATGAACCATTCTTGGTTCACTGCTGTTTTTTATTCCTTTCTATGCATTTTTCCCAAAGGTCACAAAATCCAGCTTGATGGCAGTATCTCTGATGCCCAGTTTGAATGTGCCCAAGCAGGACTTCGGATGTGCTCTCAGTGGCTGCCAAACCATCTTTTGAAATGTGTCCTCAGTGTGCACAAATACGTTCATTCTACTTTTTTTTAGTCGCACTTGCGCAACTGTGGGGGATCCGTATTTTTGTGAGTATAGATATTTGAAGTTTCAGCTGGGTTATTGTCTTGAGGGATACCTGCTGCCAAAGAACAAAAGGTACCAAGCCTGGGTATTGCCCCAAGGGGCACCAAACAGGGTTCTTTTTGCTTTGTTTTCTCTTGACGGTTGTCAAAAGTTGAGCAGTCAAGGAAAGCCAAGATGCCAGTGATCTACGGTTTTGTTCCTGTTAAAAAACAAAAGAAAACCCATTGCCCTGGCAAATACCCCTTTAAAGGAGACCCACAACTTTGACAGCTAGTTCAATTATTTTTTTCCTCAGAAAAAGGGAGTGGGATTGTACCTTTACACTTTCCCAAGGAGCTAGAGTCTCTGGGCAAGGTGCAAAATGTGCACCTCCCAGAGGGTAGTCAATGCAAGAAAGGAAAGGATAAGGATGTTGCTATGAAGGGAGTGCAAATCTTTTCAGCCCAGTTTTGCAAGCAAAGATCACTTAGACTTTTATTTTCCCTTGGAAGCTCACCTTTTGACAGCTGGCAGGAGAAAGTAAATGAAAGGAAAACGCCATATGGATACAGGTACTTTTGAGTACATTGACCTAGCTGAGGATTCAAATTTCTATGCTTGCAGGATTGTGTCCCTCCACAATTATGCATGTGTGACTTGCTATTATTTTTTAAATAGAATGAACATACTTGTGCACATTGTATGAATGTTTCTAAAATAAGAAGGTGTCACTTGAAGCAGTTGTCAGTGACTGTCAAGCTAGCTTTCCCAAACTTTCTTAAAAAGGGCTGCACCAAGCCAAAATCAGCTCAAAAAACCTGCAGCAACAGCTGAGATCACAGTGGGACACAGCTAGCTCGTGCCAGTTTCCCCAAAGTGCTTCTTGGCTACTTATTATGTATTGATGTATTATTTATTAAAAGCTTTTCTAACCCATGCACCACTAGCGTCTTGGGACGGCTTACAATGAAAATGAATAAGAAAAACAAAGCAACATTGCATCCAACTAAGATAATAAAACCCCAGTTGAAATCATCTAAACATTAAATTGATGGGAAAATAAAAAGGGTTTTGCCTGATGCCAAAAAGAATATAGCATTGGCACCAGGCAAACCTTTCTGGGGAGCATATTCCAGAGTCAGGGCACCACCACTGAGAAGGCCCTCCTCCGGGTAGCCATCTTCTAATCTCCTTCAGGGAGGGTTCCCAGAACAGGACCTCCACCTCAGATCTCAAGCAGCAGGAGGCCACACAGGGAAGAAGGTGTTCCTTCAGGTACCCTGGACCCAAGCCATTTAGGGATTTATAGGTCATCACCAGCACCTTTAATTGGGCCTGGACTTCAATTGGCAGCCAGTGTAATCAATAGATGACTGCCATTATATGTGAGTACCTGTCGGTCCCTGTTAACATCCTGACAGCTCTACTTTGAACCAACTGAAGTATCTGGACTGTCTTCAAGGGCAGCCCTATGTAGAGTGTGTTGCAGTAATCCAATCGGGAAGTTACCAAAACATGGGTCACCGTTGCCAGGCAGTACTTGGGAGGTGTCTGGCACTAACAGGCATATGGGCAAGCTTGGAAAGAATGGCAGGAGTTTTGCAATGTGACTTAACAGATGACTCCTGGTACTCACAGTGAGGTCAGTCTGTCGGGTTTGGATGACATGACAAGTTATATCTACAGTGGGTTGTAGTCTTTTTGCTCAGGAAGAAGTCATTGTGTGAGGGAATCTATCCACAATGCAACAACCCATGGTGGCTGCCATTACAATTGGTTGTTCTGTCGTACAAACCCAATCCATGGAATTAATAGCAGGATTCTACTATCCATAACAGTGAACATTTACCTGCTCCTTGCTAGTCATTTTCATGTGCCTTATTTATATTTGGATATAATTTGAAAATTATATTATTCTTGCATTGCTAGTTTGTGTTGAATGTCTACTGTTTAAAAAACAGCATTTTTGTTTTGAAAACTACAATCTTTCCTTTACTTTTTCAGTGTTTTTTCTACTGCAGTATTATGCAGTCATGGAAAACTTTCTGTAACTGTTGATAACAAAAAGAATAAATCCAAAAGTACACAAGAGTTGCATACCATACCCTCTTAAAAATTGAATGATGTTTATTTTTGTTGTTCTGCACCTGTAACAAAGTCAGAATCCAAGTCTGAGGTGGCTTTGTCATTTGCTCTGCCAAATGGTTGTTATATGAAACCAGTTCTCAAATTCAGTTGAAAAAGGAGGGGAAAAGCAGCCCAGTTGTCCCAAAGTGAATTTATCTGCCCATTGTTCTGTTAAGGGCACTTGCTGTAAAGTTGTTCGGTAATAGTAGTGCACTAAAAACTGCTTGGAGCTTTGCCCATTCTACTTTTGTTTGAAATGACCAATTTTTTGGTCTTAGGAAACAGGATATGTCTTTTTCAACAATGTTGTAACTCGTTCCAGCAACATGACTGCCTTTCTCCTTCAGAGCTGAAGAAGCAATCAAGTGGCCACAGGTTCTATAGTTCATGTTATTCGGCTAATTATGGGCAGTTGTTGGAGACTGGCTGGCGAGACTTTGCAGAATAGGACAATGTATTGGTATTCAGAGCAGCTGATAGCCCAAGTTCCCATTGCAACATCCTCAAATGATCAGGCATTATGCATACCCTGAAAGTTTAGACCCTTTTCTAGGTAGGAAGTACATTAAAATGAGTTTGGAGTGGTTGGGCAGGATCATCCCAGTACCTAATTATCAAGTCTCCTACTTGGAATACAATCCCAAACTGAAGACCTTAAAAAAGATAACTTTTGAATACTTCCTGTAAGTAAGGGAAACTTTAATTTGTGCATTAAAGCAATATAATTTTGTTTATGTAAAACAAATATGTAAGAGATATATTAGGTTTTGTGGCTTGTCACTAGTTAGAAATCACAGGTTTTGGCATTACAAAGTGGGGCAGGACTGTTTATGCACTGTGTACAGAACTTTGCCAGAATATGTGTGGTTACTCACTTCTTACATTATTATTGCTGTAAATAGTGAGAAAGCATTTTCAAATTCCTAGTTCTAACTCAAGTCACTTTGTCATGTGATGGCTGAATGCTTTCAACTTCTGGCTAGCCAAATCATTTTTAATCAACATTCCACTGTTGATCCTGTGTTTGATTAACTCATTTTTACAGCATCCATTTTTCTTTAAACCAGAATACACCAAATAGAGCAAACTAAGCTATGCAGGGTTCTGTGTTCCATGCTTAGCCTTGAGGGATGCTAAAAGCTAAAGAGTAAGGAAACAGTAATTAAAAGTGATTACAACAAGAGACTTAGAACTATGACATGGGAATGCAAGTGTCCTTGACATAGGAAGAACCAGGCAGCAGGTTTTGGTTTTGATTATAACTTTACTTGCTATTTTAATAAACATGAACCAGTATTCAAACTTTAATATCCTGCTGCTTAACTATTTCCAAATAGCAATTCAGCTCTTTAAACAACCCTTTAAAAATTAATTTGTATGGCTCTGTCTCTGCTTAGAGAAGTTGTAGGCTCATAGTAACTTTTTTGGGTGGGGGAGAGTAAGTTTATTTCCAGAATCACAGGCAATTGGTTTTTTCAGCTAAGTGTTTCCGTATGTGTCCAAAGTGTCAAAGCTCACAGATTCTCTGTGCTGTGTTAAGTGATTCCCAGAGCAAGTATGAGAGACAAACACAGGAATGTGCCTAGTTCTGCACTATGCCAGTCAATGATACAATAATACGTACAGCTCTTCCAGGAAGCGGAGATTGTGCAGGAAGTTGGAGGGCAGTTTAGAGATGTTGTTCATACTGAGGTCACTGTAAAGGAAAAGGAGACAGTGCATTTATAATTGAAGCATCTATATTTTTTATCTATTCATTTCAAAGTAGCATATTAACAACCACAAACAGTTTTCCTACTATGTCAAATGAATCAAGTAGAAGTCTTGGAGTTGTTTACTACAGAAGTAAAAATAAGCAGTTTGACTTTTGTAAAACCACAAGTAAGGAGTTTTATTTTTTTCCAGTTACTTTTTTTATTAATTTTTTAAAACAGTACTAAAAACATCAATCTTCACAAACATCAGAACTATTGGGTCAGCCCCTTACTACATATCTTTTAACATTCTGTAATCATATTCAGATCCATTTATGAAATCTTAAAAAACATTTTTAGATCTAAACCAAGTCCCGTTTCTCCAGCCAATAAAAAAAAAAAAAAAACACCACAAGTAAGGAGTTTTAAATGTGGGACTTTACACGAAAATATGACATGTGTTAGCATGGCCTTTCCCCAGGCAATGTGCAAATATTTATCACTACTTTGATTCTTATTGAGCTATCTTTCTCGGTCAGCTTCAATATACTACTGCAGAAGTTAAAATAGTAGATATGGTTAGGTTGGTTGCTGTAATAAACAAAGCGTGGGATCCTAAGTTATACCAGACCAGTGCTCTTAACCACTACTTCACACTGGGTGCCAACCTACTTCTTTTAAATAGTGCCCACAATACGTAGACATATTTTTGTGCTATTTTAAAAAAATATTTACTTAGCCTCTGTGATTCTGTGGATGAGAAAATGGTGCTTGCTGCCAAAGGGTCATATAGGCCAACCCTGAACATTGACCCTGAGCGCCTTCAAATAGGGCTTTGCTTTACTTCACTTTCTCTTCTCAGTCAGGGAAGACAAAGCTGCAAGAGATCTTTGCTCATGAAAAGGGATGGGAAGTTTTATACCCAGAGTTCAGTGAAATCTGCGACTTTTTCCTTTCCCCCCAGGTCAGTAGTATCCTGTGCATGCTGTAGATTCTACCTGCTCAGAAGAGTGCAAAAGTGCACCCCACCCCATTTTCAGTGGAAAGGGGTTCTGAGAGTGTAGTGAATGCTTTTTTGGCAGGGATCTTGCTGCGAAGCATGTGTAAATCTTGCTTTTCCTTTTTCCTGAGCAAAGATCCATCAAAAGTTTTATGGTTTCAATGATCCTCCCTGGAGTCTGAACCTTTTCTGCTCATTGGACTCCTTCCCATGCTTGACCATTGCCTAGGAAGTGCGATGAGCCAAAAGGAGGCCTGCAAATTCTGGTTGCACCACCAGAAACCTCCTTCCACAGCACATAAAGGATGCAGCTTGCAAGCTTGAAGGACGGATGCTTCTTGCACAACGTTTATGTGGGTTTGATTCATGGTAGCATCTGCATGAATGCTCGGCACACTTGCCAGGACTTTGGATTCATGACTATGAGAAACCAGCCAGAGTCTACGGAGCCAGGCTTAGGGAATCCAATGGATCCCCATTCCCAAACCAGATTTCTCACACATCCCTACAAACATCCTTTGTTTTCCCTTGGGAGTTCGCCTTCTGACAGCTTGGGCACTTCGAGGGGGTTGCCACTGGCTGTCAAACTGAGCCTGTAAAAAACGGCTGTTAAATCAGGGATTGTGCTTTCTGTAAAATAAATAAATAAAGGAGGGGTAGAAACATGGCAAGTGAAAATGAGCTTGAAATTGCACTCATGGGAGAAGCAGACAAATTGGTCCTACAGAAGGGCCCCCAGTGATAACTCTAAGAAGACTGAAGAGTGAAGACAACCACGTTGGACGCACTTTTGAGAGCACCATGCGTTGTTTAGGGAATAAGCCACCCACCCTGGCTTATTGCTAGGGTAGGTTACCACCCTTTAGCATGATAAAACACTATTTAAATATCTACTTATATTTGGGGTTGGGGGATAGATTGTTAGCTGTAATTCATTCTAGCTAGCTGCAGAATATAAAATAGAGGTCTAGGAGTTATGTCCAAGGCTATAGTTGCAGTATGTTAAAAACAAATATTTGGATACACATAAATCAAATATACCCAACACTTCATTTTTAATGTGTTCCCTTTGCAGATTCTCTAGTTACATTGAATAAGTGAAATGAAACACTAAACAAGGTTGCAATGTGATCCTGCTATGTATCACACTTCCTGATGGGATTCCACAGTAGTTCCTGGTGCAGGAAACCACTGCTTTTTCTAAATGAAATCAGACTTCATTTTCTACCATATTCCCTTTAATCACATCACAAAGCTACAGTGCTTTTCCCATTCTACAACAGGCATAATTATTTGGTAAAATTCACTGGGAAGGCCCCATTAAAATACACAGAAGCTGAACAAAAGCATGGCTAAATTGTCCCTGCCCAAACAGGACAAAAATCTTAGAGTTTCTTCTACACACGCACCATGCATTCAGTTGATTTATGTAGGAAACCATTTCCATTGAATCATAGTGTTCCTAGTGCATTTTATATGAACGGGCACAGCAGTTAATAGTATTCAAAGTAGGAAAACTCATTCAAAATACGACATAAGGTTAAAGTCAGTTCTCAGAGCACCAGAGTCAATATTTGCCAAGAACAAGAGCGCTACATCACTTTCTTTTGAAGCGGACATCACCATAAACAGCAGCATCAGTAGCAAACAAGCCAGTCTGACCAGACACGACTGGTGCTCCTGATATGTATTTTAATTCCTCTCCATGTCTCAAGGATCCTGTCAGAAATTTGCCCCAGTGCAACACCTCACCTGGATGCCAGATGCAGTGTGGGATTATTTGCTTTTGCTGGCTTCAGCAAGGGAAGGAGAGACAGCTGGAGTTGCTGCTGTCTTTGTTTTTGCTTTCTGAAGATGGGGAAGGTTTCAATGGCTCTAGCCTAGCAACTGCCTTGAAAGTGGGGGACAAAGAGCATCACCAGGACTGTTGCCCATGAGGGCTCTATCTCCACAGGGAGAGTTTCAACTGACACTGAGGGCTGCAAAGCGCTCTGGTAGAGCTTTGCCAGGTGGTGGACCTCAGATAGCCAGAGCAGCCCTACATGTGCACAAGAAGAAATTATCAGTGGGCTTGGTTCAACACCCAAAACACCTTTAACAGAACGAAGACCCCCTCCCCGCACCTGCTCCCAAACAGACAGACTAAAAGGGACTTAGCATGCCCAAGGACTATGGAATGCAGACTGTTCGAGAGACCTAAAAACCAGAAAATGTGGTGGGGGGAGGGAAATGGAATAGAGTATCCTGGAAAAGAGAATTTGCTAGATAGCTCCTTGAATAGGACCATTCCAGACTGCAAGTTGGAAGTTAATCAGCACTAAATCCAAATATTTTGCTTCAGCTGGCATAGGTTCTAGATCAGGTTGTAAAGAAAGCTGAGTATAGACGCAACAGAACATTTTTCATCATGTGTGAAATATTTGTGGAAACAGGTAACCTGAATGTTATTATTCTACACTTTTAAATTATTGTCATGTTGGTTTTTCATTTCAGAGGCTAAAGTTGCATTTTTAAACCCAGAAATACATTTGTACTAGTTTGAAGAGATTTCATTGACAATATACAGTTAGGACAAACACAAACGTAAATGACTTATTAATATTTCGTATCCATTTTCAACTGGATATCTGTGGTTTAGCATTCACCTCAAAAGCTAATTTATTGAGCAATTCTAGTATAGTTACTGAATTCCTTCTTGCTGTGATATTTAATCATGCCATTCTTCCTCTTCAGTAGTTGACTATTTCACCCTTATTTTGGCAAAACAACAAAAGATTTTCTTTGGCAAAAGAACAAAATGCAGCAAATGAAATCTAATCCATCAAATTAATTATACATTAATCGACCATAAGATACACCTTTTTGGATGATGACGTATTTTCTACATACTCTGATAGAGGAGTTTAATAGGGGCATGTTCTGAATGGGACTGATTTCTGGAATAACTGGCAGACCCCATATCAATGAATTATCGATATTTATACTCTGAAAGACTGACACATACTTAAATGTATAAAATTAGTGCAAGCTCATATACAAGCTCATATTTTGCAAGCTCATATACAAAGAATTCAATGTGGAGAGCAACAGATTATCAAAGCCAGCAAATTTAACTGTCAGGTGTATCAGGCTCTTGTATTGCAAGATATAAAGAACATGATGTGGTAAAGGAAGAAGAATTGGCTTTATATACAATTTTTCCCATTTTACTCTTGAGTAGTAGCTATTTTACTGGCTTTTCAGATCATGTGGATGATGATTCTTCTCCATAGGGATAAAAAAAGCATAGCCGGTAGTAGCCTGCAGTAGCATTAATTCCGGGAGTACTATAAGACAGCATAATTCCCCATTATGGCTGTCAATTAGCTCCACAGGAACATCGTTCCCATTTTCCCTTCCCATAATGAGTGAGGACTCTTCAGCCACAACCTAGTAGTCTCAACAACCAGTCTGTAGTCAGATCTGGAAAGGACAGGCTGTACTGCCAGACCACCATTGCTAAGCAATGATAATAGGAGAATAGAAAGGATTTTTGTCTCTTGTTTTAGTGGACATGCTGCAAACGTGGAGGAAAGAAGGAGGGAATATGGAAAGATCAGTATTACTGGATCAACAAGGTTTGATGTTCCAGTGGAATGGTTTGACTCTTTTGTGGCAGCTTTTATGAAGGGACAAGTTAACACTCCCCAAGTTTAGTTAAAGGATTTTATTGATTTGAAAAATATTGTACATGCCACTCTCCATTATCTGCACTTAAGAATAATTACTAACAAACAATGAAGAAGCATGTTAAAAATAATGCACAAATCATCAATTACAACAAAAAGTACAGCAGCAGGAGGAATAGCATCAATTCAAATAATATTTAAATGCCTGGGGAAAGATCCTTGCCTAGAACTGGGAGGAAGGGAGAGGGGGGGAACAGTGTGAACATGCTGCAAAAAGCCAGATTTTGAAATGCAAACACTCCAGTCTCAACCTCAGAAGGTAGGGCATCTGGCA